CGCTACGGTTAATATTTTTTTTTCTTATTAGTATTTTTATTGGTATATTTTTAGCACAGTCATTATCTTATTATTACACGCATTTTATTTATAATTTTTTTGGAACAATGCGAAAGAGAAATATATATTTTTAAATTTTTTATGCAGAAAACGTCTCTTCGAGTAAAGGAAAATCAGTTTTTCGCAAATATCTGCCAAAATATGCAATTTACAAAATTTTTCTAACCAAACCAAACCTACAAAAATGATCCTTATCATTTTTTACGTAGAATTAGTAGTTTTCGAGATATTCCGCCTCGAAGATCCCTCAATTTTCTCTCCAAGTCTTAAACTTGTGTGAATTTTGTCATATTTTATGATAATCAAAAATAACGGGTAAACATTCCTTAGTCTAAAAATGTTCAGATTTTACAAAATTATTCATACTTTCACTAATAATAACTTATTTGTCAACATTTTGTTAACAAATTTTCTTAAGAGTCTCTATAAGCAACTCACAAAGCTTGAAGTATTTGTTTAATTGCATTTTATTAAAAAAAAACGATTGGTGAGAGGCTTTTCCGCTTTTTTGGGATTTCCGGAAAGCGTAGTAAACAAAAGAAAATTTAGAAACTTTACGAAAAAAAATATCAAGATAATTTTTTAGCTAAAGACCAAATCTTCTATTCGATCATGAACATAGATGATGCCATATTTCGGTCAACATTGGCGGAAACCCCGTTCTTTGACCTTTTAGAGCCGTTTTTAAGCATTTTTCCGAGAACTTACGGAAAAAGTGTCAGGACTTTTTTTGTAGATAATGACCTAAGCGTCATTTTTTCTCCAAGGAAAAAATTTGTAAATTGCATATTTCAGCAGATATTTGCAAAAAACTGATTTTCAACCATTTTTTCGGCCAAAGCTTATTATAGAACTACTCCCCAAAAGGTACACAATCCGCCTAAAAAGTCATGGTCGACAAATTAACTTACCTTATCACTTAAAACATTTAATGATTACTATACCGGGTGCGTCTTAAAACTGGCTCACCCCTACAACTTTTTTTTATTTTTTCAGTTAAAAAAAGGAGATTTGGTATGTTAGTATATGACATAAATTAGGATTGATTGACATATTCAATTGTTTTCGGTCACTTCCTGTTTCACCGGAAATGACTACTACTTTTGATTTTTAAATGGCACCCTCTGTATTTTTTTACTTTATTTGATAGAAAATAACACTCTGAATAGAATGACATATCTATCTATCTATAAACTTTTGACATTTTCGCATATGGTTTATTTGAAATTATAACTTGCGGTTCGTAACGGAAATTTGACTGGAAATACCAAGTGTGTTGTATCAAATTATTCGTAAAAAAATACTTTTTCCAAATATGCTAATGAGCCACCTTCGTTCCATTTGAAAAAATTGAGATATTATTAAAAATACGATTTGAGCATTTTCTAACTGGCCAGGATAAGACATTAAGAACATTAGACGGTCAAATCTATTTCTCCAAGGCTCCTTGATTAAGAATTAGTGTTTTTAACATAGCCATGGCACTCTAGATTGAATTTTAAAATACAATGTTTTGCGAGAAAAAAATACAATGTTCAAGCGAGAATGTCAAAAGTATGATATGTCATTGTATTCAGAATGTCATTTTCTAACAAATAAAGTAAAAAAAAATACCGAGGGTGCCATTTACAAATAAAAAGTTGTAGTCATTTCCGGTGAAACAGGAAGTGACCAGAAACAATTGAATAAGTCAATCAATCCTAATTTACGTCATATAATAACATACCAAATCTCGTTTTTTCTATCTGAAAAAATTAAAAAAGTTATAGGGGTGGTCCACTTTTGAGACGCACCCGGTATGGTAGAAAATATAGTACCTACTGAAAATATTTCATATTTTCATATCCTGTAGAAATTGAATTTACAAACAATTTTAGGACTATTAGACTATTTGGAAATTATCAGTGAAATATAACATTGTTATTGGTACGAATTTTTTTTTATTATTTTTGATTTTGACTGCATAATGAATACGAAAAAAATGCAAAGTATAAGAACGTTTTTTTATCGAAGTTTTTCGGAAATACTTACAGAATTTTATTCCAAATCTAATTTTGCAATATATAGTTTTTCAAGCACCTGATTTATTTCTCTGTAATATAACTAGCAAATTAAAACGTGTGAACACCCCGTTTCCAGATTCAGTCAGACTGAAAAGTGAGAATACCCCTTTTTACAACTCTTAATATAATATTTGAACCTGAATTATTTTCTTTTCGTCAGTTAAAACGGCACTAAATCAACAAGGTGCGAGCGAAAATAACGCGATTATTCGATAGACATGGAAAACAACGCCGGCCAGTGTTTAACTTTTCGATGCATTTTCTATGTTCAACTGCCAAATGGCCCAAGTGTTTATTTATGTTGAATTTCAATTACGTACGACCTCACACTTATCAATAACCAACTATTTACTTTGGGGTCGCTGTTTCGGTCAGTCGGTCAAACCGCTTGTTGATTTTGCGCTTATTTATAACGGTGTTTTTGGGCGGTTAGATGCGTCACCCGGCTCGGACTGGCCATATAGCCAGGGTGGCGATTGCCAGCCTGGCCCCGGCCTTTGCGGGCCCTCCTGTCTTAGGACCTACATATAAAATAGTTCATTATTTAATCTTAAATATACGGAAAAAATAAATTGTAATGAACACGAGGGGTGTCTCACTCAGGTAAAAAATGTACACGTACTGCCAAAATATCCTTCCACTGCTAAGCGACTGCCAATGATTATGAAGAAGACTGCCTATGACTGCCATGTAAATATTATAGGCGACTGCCATAAGACTGCCAATGACTGCCAGCGACTGCCAAGAAAATGTACATGTAATTCCAATAGTGAAACACCCCTCGAATAAACACCACAATTGTAGAAAACACTGCTGCATTTGGCATGAAAAATGGTACTAGGCAACACGTAACTTTTATTTCTATCACAAGATCTCCAAAATAGTTAAATACCGGGTGCGTCTCAAAAGTAGCTCACCCCTATAACTTTTTTATATTTTTAAATAAAAAACGAGTTTTGGTACGTTAGTATATGACATAAATTAGGATTGATTGACGTATTCAATTGTTTTTGGTCACTTCCTTTTCACCGGAAATTACTACAACTTTTGATTTTTAAATGGCATCTTCGGTATTTTCTTACTTTATTCGATAGATAATGACATTCTGAATAGAATGACATATCATTTGTCAACTTTTGACATTCTCGCTTAATAAAAAATCGTATTTTAAACTTCAATCTCGAGTGCCATGGCTATGTTAAAAACACTAATTCTTAATCAAGGAGCTTTGGAAAATAGATTTGATCGTCTAATGTTTTCAGTGTCTTGTCCTGGCCAGTTAGAAAATACTCAAAATATATTTTTAATCATATCTCAATTTTTTCAAATGGAACGAGAGTGGCTCATTAGCATATTTGGAAAAAGCATTTTTTTACGAATAATTTGATACCACACACTTGGTATTTCGAGTCAGATTTTCGTTACGAACCGCAAAATATAATTTCAAATAAACCATATGCGAAAATGTCAAAAGTTGACATATGATATGTCATTCTATTCATAGTGTTATTTTCTATCGAATAAAGTAAGAAAATACCGAGGGTGCCATTTTAAAATCAAAAGTTGTAGTCGTTTCCGGTGAAACAGGAAGTGACCAAAAACAACTGAATACGTCAATCAATCCTAATTTATGTCATATACTAACATACCAAATATCGTTTTTTTAACTGAAAAAATAAAAAAGTTAGGTATAGGAGTGAGCCACTTTTGAGGCGCACCCGCTTGATTTTCTACGAAAGTAGCGAACAAGTGTGGTGGTAATTCTCACAATTTGTGACAGAAAATATCTAGATTGAACTCGTTGAAATTTAAATTCAAATCATTATTACAAACTGCAGCACTACTAACTACGTGCGTCTCAAAAATGGCTCACCCCTATAACTTATTTTTTCAGATAAAAAAACGGAATTTGGTATGTTTGGATTTGGATTTGAAATAAATTAGGATTGATTGACGTATTCAATTATTTTCCTAGCATACCTAGCATTACTTTTAAATATACTTATACAAATTTATTTTGCAAATATTGTTCAAATCGCCCTGTATATCGACAAAAAATTTTTCAAATAATATTGCCCCCGTATTTTATAGAAATATGGAGAGGGAAAATCTCAATAAACTTTCCTGTTTGGAAAAAAAATTAAGTGTGAAATAATTAAATAAACACAATATAAAAGTAGAAAATGAATACATAACCATAAAACACAAACAACCATACATACCATTCCATACCAAACATATAACATAGATACTCATACTATATATAGATTATAGATTGTTAAAAAACCAGTGGCGTATCATATTTTTCTTAAAGATTTTCATCCCCGAAAGTTTCTCGTCATATTTAACTACCTGACAATTTTCTCAAACTACATTTGAGAACTACAATGTACTGATAAAAAAAACTAAGATACTAGTTTAAGAATATCTTTAAGTCTTTAATAAAGAATGTGTTTTAGTTCAGATTTTTTTTCTAGGAAATAACCAAACATTTTAAATAGAATAATTTAGAAACATTAACAAACGATCAAATATTTTAATTATTAACATAATAAATTATATTAATTCAAGGCATTTAGCACTAAATAAAAATGTAGTAGTACCCGAACAGTAACGTAGTCATGAAATAATTCAAATATTATTTTGTACAAATAACTAAACTACTTATTACGCTTTAATTATGCTTTTATTACGATACTACCGAAATTACAACGCCAACACCTAACCTAACTTATTTTCTTCTAACCCAAATAAAGCTTAATTTCCCAATAACATCTAACGTACAACAAAACTAAGGAAATTAAAAAAAATAAGCTAAATTCGATTAGTCACAACAAATAAAGATAAATTATTAGTAATACATATAAAGCAGTTAAAGATATTTCAACAATATTTATTTCCTAGGGTATATGGGCAAGTTAGCCGACTTACCCCTGATGCGAGCCATGAAACTGGGGGTCACACCAGCTGGAGACTGATGGACGGGCACGTGGTACCCCTTCGGTACCATTTGGGCCGGGGATGGTGTCCCCAGAGAACTGTTTTTGGATAGACCCTGCGGAAGAAAGAAAAAAGACATTGAGAGATCTGAATTGAGTTCCTATTTTACTTTTGTACTGATATATTTTTCTAATAAATTATCTATATCTTTAGAGAGTTATGTTTTATTAAATTGTCCCACATTTTATACAGGGTGAGTTTCCTACGATGTTCTCTATGGGTATCTCGGAAACGACTTTAGATAGAGAGTCGGTTCAATGGGAAAAGAATTGCAGTTTTGTGGGGTCATAAATATGCGCCTTTCAGATTTTTGAAAAAGTTTATGGCTTACTAGATATTTTGAAAAAAACAAATTTTGACTATTTTACAAATTGTCCCTATTTCTATTATAATTTATTTAGACAAAAAGTTTTCAGAAAAAAGTTGTAGATAATCACATCCCTAATGAGTTTGTGTTCTCCAATTTTTTCTAAAGTCTGTCATTTTTGACATATGACACAAACATATGTTTTTTTTTTAATGGAAACCATAGTTGGCCATGACTTCATAAAAAGCGCCATTTTTTAAGCAAAAAGAGAGAATATACTATTAAACGCTAAAAGTACTTGGAAGAAAATTATAATAAATCGAAAAAATATTAAGACTTTAACACCCTGTAGCTACCGAAATAACGCAAAATCGGACCTATGTTGATATGAAAAATAAATCTTATTTTTACGTGGGGAATCTCCCCACGAGAGATGGTGCATGTTACTTAAAACGCCCTGTATAAAGCATAATTTTTGTACCTACTGCCATTTAATTTAATAAAATTGGATTTTAACAATATAAAATTTGTTTTATTTCAATTTACCCTCTAATCCTGTAGGATAAATAAAAAATAAAGTAAAAGTAACATCACAGCTTATTCAGTATCAGCTGGTCCCTTGATTTTTAGAATCAGCTTTTTTGCGCTGTTCTCGTACACATGCTGACAGTAAGAGCACCAGTCTCGATAGTCTATATAAACGGAACTTCTATAGAGCTCAGAATGTGATTTGTTACGTAATATCTAGTTAGTTCCATACAAATCATCATAAGTCAGCATAAATAAGCTGTGGTAACATTAAGGACTGTAAGCAGTGTCTAAATACTTTTTCAATTATAACATGCTTCCAACAACTATAGTTACTTGGATAATGTGGATATGTGTGTTATCTTGGTATGTGGAAATACTTAAAACATACCCTTCGGAGCATACTATTATTGCATATTATTAGATAAATTCAGAATATTAATCAAACAAACTAGAAAGCAAGGATAAAATCAAATTGAAATTATTATTGCTACAGACGTTATGGAATTTAATAGCAAATAGTTAATCATTCTTGAAATTCAGAGGAACTTCCCACTTTGCTAAATCATCAGAACTAATATTTTTAGAAACCTTGTCTTGAGAATATTAGCTTAAGACGGCTTCAGACTGTGCGTCAAATACCATTCCACGTTGGTTCCTATGTTGGTTGCAATATTTAAACCAAATATTTGTGGCTTAATCAAACTATGTCTCCAAAAAACGCGTCCAAAACTGGAACCAATATTTAGTTGTAATGTTTGTTAATGACTAGTAAAGTTCATCATGGAGAACGATACTGAAGCAGCTTATTGCAGTTTCCATTCCAACAACAAAACTTAGTCAACAAAGCTTCATAAGGTAAGTATATACGAATTATTAATCATTATATCAAATCAGGCTATACTGTAAAAAAAATAGAGTTAATCATGGAGAGTACTGTTTTTGGATTTCATCTTTCATCAGATTTGGATTGAAAAGTGAAAAAAGAATACAGACAACATCCAGTATTTTATTATCTTTTGTCACACATATTTCTTAACTTTTTATATTACTTCTAGAATTAGGAGTTATGAAACTATACAACTAAAAATAATTAAAATCAAATAAAAATTAATTTATTATTGCCTAACAAACAATTGAATATCACCTACTGACAGAAATCGATTCTTCTTTAGTGCATTTCTTTATTTTAAATTACAGAAATAAGTAATTTCAGAATAATCGCAGTTCGAAGTGTTAGAATGATTCAATCCACATATAAATAATTCTATACTAATTCCAGCTCTGGCGATTGCATTTATAATAAATACACTTTGATGTGTTTCAAACAGTGTAAATAAATTATGTGTTGCAAATTATGTACCTGTGTAAAGTCAGGAATGAAAAATAATGATTTTGAATTATTAAAATCATTTTGTAATTAGTCAGTGTTTTTTTATCATAATTATTTGATATTACTTTCATTAATAATTGTTTATTGTAGGATTATAATTTCTTTTTGTTTATATTAGATTCAAAAATTGATTTATGTTAATTAAATAGAAAATTAATCTTAAAATATTCAATATTTTTCATTATAGTCCAAGATCCCAGAGCGATAAGACATAACTTATTTTCACAAGGATGAAACCTTAGGCTCTCAGTAGTGTTCTTATGTGCTTTGAATACCGGCGTGTTTGTTGGGTTCACCCTGTGATGCCTGGCAGATATACCAGGTGAGAAAGGTAACTAAAAATAAGAGTTACTTAAATTAAATTTGTATGGCTCGGTGCCATAATACGTCTCTGGTCACTTACCTTAAGTCGTGGCCACTTATCTTTAGGTGCGTACTCACTACAGCATTTCTCTCCGAACGGACCAAACGAGCCGAGCGCGCAGAGCCGAATTCGGCAAGTGAATACGTGTTCGCGAGCAAAATTTCACCGAACCGAGCGCGCCAAACATTTTTTCGTCGATTTGTCGGTACATACATTTTGCTCAAAGGGGATGCGTTGTCCAGTGGGCGGAGGTTCGTTGCGTTCATGATGTTCGTCCTAATCGGAGCATTCGCGGCTAAAAATTTTCATTGTTTTGATTTTTCTTTGCTCAAATGAAATGGAGTGGAATAAAAAATTTTAAGTGCCTTCAGTTAATAGACATTCACGAACTTTTATGATCCAGTGCTTTGGAATCCAAAGGATGGATTATACAATAATAAAGTTTGATGCGTGGAGGCAGATAGATGAGGTCATGGGATGTGCTTCTGGAGAAGCAAAGAAAAAAATTGAAGTCTTCTGGCGACATTCTGCTGAAATTTTTCCGATGAATATTATCCATATCTCTCAGTAGCCTTCCATTTTGACGGCGTAAAAACAAACTTCTTGCCCATAATTTTCTTGATGTTTTCTTCTTTTCCCTATTGGTAATGTCTTGTATAACGAAAAAAGCACCAGCAGCGATAATAGCATCTTCCGGATCCATTAATACACTCGATGCAGAACGGTGACCTAGAGATTCAAAGCGCGAATAAAAATTAAATACAACTGAACTTGGGAACACAGCGCACGCTTGTCACCTTTCTGTGTCTGCACCCACTCTACTATCTCTGTACCCTTCACAAACAGGTCCTTGATAGGACGGGAGCATAGTTCCTCCGCGGTTCTAGCTTTGCTTTCCCAATTAGAAACTGTCGCTTGCGATCCAAAGCCTCGCAGTGACATATTATGTGCTCCGCTGTTTCAGGATCTTTATCGCAGGGTCTTGAGCAAAGACTTCCTTACAGGATGAGCTTGTTCAATTAGCACTTCATAGCCAGACGTCCTGTCGAGAGACCTGTTATAATCCACACTTTAGTCCTGCTGCCGGAGTTCCTTTGTATAGTTTTAGAATTAGGTCCTTAGTGGAGTGCTTTAAGCCTTTATGGGATGCAAACCTCGGAATTCATTTACTGTGAACGAATTTTATAAAACTTTTTGCATTGTATTGTTAATAAGATATATTACAAAGTTTACCATTCAAATTCGTTGCTTTCACTTCTTTTTTTATTTAAATAAACACACATATACAAATGTATACATACAAGATGGCTCCGTATTCCGGAAAAGCTCTGTAATCAGGATTCTTATTTGAGATTTTCACTCCAAATCATTTATAAAATATGTGTTTAATGGTAGTTCACATTTCAAAAATATTTTTATAGATATACAGGGTGAGTCAAATATATATCTATATTAATTTATTTAGTTCAGTGAATTTGGTATAATATTCCGGTTCCAAAAATACTTAATACTTATATAATTTTTGAGTTATGACCACGTCCATGAGGACGTCAATCTAGACATCCAGGAACCTTCGTATGAGAACTTCTAATCGAGACGATCGACTTATGGTAAGTTTATCGCTAAGAAACCGCCGTTTGCCAGCTTTTCAAATTAATAATGAATTTGCACCTAAGGAACTTACATATTAACTAACGGACTATAAGAAGAAGATTGAATGAAGCAAATCTTCTATCAAGAAGGCTTCGGAACCAGAACTTGCTAGATGTGTTGACTAGGCCCAAAAGGAAAGACATGGTTTTAATGTAAAAATTACGAAAAAATGTTAGTTTCTTCTTCAAAAGCGAATATTTCCTACAAAAATAAAGCTAATGAGATGAACCAAAAAACAAACCAGAGAGAAAGGATGTACCTAGATGATAAAATGATTTTTAAATTTATTGTTATTTTAACTTATTCCATAGGGTGTTTCAAACTTTAACCAAAATATCAACATTTTGTTTTCCCTCGTATAATTAACAGAGGGAGAGTCATTTTTAATTTAGAAAAAGATACTAAAAAGTCAAATAATTTGGCTACATGCTGCTTAAAAAAATCTTTAAAATCGGCCCATTAAAACAAAATATATTAACCTTTAAAATACATCAAAGTTTTAAGGTGCCCATTTTTCGTGCCGGTGAATATTTTTCAAAAACTATACATTTTAGTCATATACTTTTCTAATGAAACAAACCTTTATTTTTTTAGTAGAATCCAAAAATCAATTAATATAGAGGGTGTTCCACCCCTGTAGAACTCTACATAATTTTAGAAAATGCTTTAAATTGACTTACGTAAGCTCACAAAATTTCGCTTCAATACAACATTTTGTTCTCCTTGCAAAAACCGCGTCGTATATGACGCGCCACCCTGTATAATTCGTTTTCAATCAAAATTTCAATGATTAGAATATAAGCAATCTAC